TGGAAGAGCGGACTTAGTAAGGTTCGTGAAGGAAATCCAAGCACAAGGCCTCTATGCTTGCCTTAGAATTGGGCCCTTTATTGAGAGTGAATGGACATACGGGTAACTCCCCTTCGACTGTTATTTCCAAGTTCAGACGTGATAAACAGGCCTGTCAAAAGCAAAAATAATGCGCCACCTTTTATTTATTTTTGCGTTGAAAAATATTTGTAAATAAACATTTTAAAAAATAACCACTAAACTTAAATTTACACATTTTGAAACACTGAACAAAATTGCAGGGGGCTACCATTTTGGCTGCATGACATTCCGGGCATGGTCTACCGATCTGATAACCAACCTTTCAAGGTATCGACTGCTCGTCGCATCAAATCCATAAGTTCCAACACTGGATTAATGTATTTAACGGTGCACTGCTAAAATTGAACTTGTATTCTCATTTGGCTATTGGCAGTATCACATGAAAAGGTTCGTATCGAGAATAGTAAACATGATGAAATCAGAGAAATTATATGCTTCACAAGGAGGGCCAATCATACTACAACAGGTTAAGTCCACAGAAGCAAATTGAGGCATTTTATCATTGCTCAAGCCGTTATCATGGTCTCTAATATCTTTCTGTATGCATACAGATTGAGAATGAGTACAAAAATGTTGAAGCAGCTTTTCATGAGAAAGGGCCTAGTTATGTTCGTTGGGCTGCATCGATGGCCGTAAATCTTCAAACTGGAGTTCCCTGGGTGATGTGTAAGCAGGATGATGCTCCTGACCCAGTGGTTAGTTCCCTCGTTCTTCGATGTTTAGCATTTAGCAACTGCTGCTTCAAAGGTAATCCATCATTTTCTGGTCTGGAAGAGGTTCAATCTGCTTGCTGGCCTTCTTCCTCAGTGCTGCTTGGGCCTGCCAACCAGAACAGAAAAGGATTAAATAGAGTTACAAGCTTCCAAATGCCTTGCATTAAGTCTCTATAAGAGCAAATTCATAAGATTCACTAAACATACAAGTAATTGATGAACGGTGAGTTTAAAAAATGTACTGAAATTTATGGTAAAAAGCAGAAAATCTTCCTTGACATTGTTTGTCAAAGAATCTCCTAGTTGCTCTAACACCCTTTTAATTTGTTTTTTAAATTCCATTTTGCATTATGTACTATAATAAGCAGTTATTCCGTGATTAAAGACTAGGTCGTGCAATTTGCAGATCAATTCATGCAATGGAATGCGATGTGGAGAAACATTTGCAGGACCAAACTCACCCAATAAGCCATCAATATGGACTGAGGACTGGACCAGTTTGTATGTTTTTAACGAAATGCTTTATTTATTTTTATTATTTTTCCAAAATCAGATTCTACATTGAACATTAGAAAGAATTCTAAATGGATTACGTCAAAAGGGGCACTAAATGGCATTGAGAAGTAACATTAACTACTTGTTGCAATAGAGAGGGCTGCCTTGTCACAGTTTAAATATAATCTATCTATCCTGCAACACTGCATGCAGAATCACATAAACAACAGTCAGTAGTATATTTCTGATTTCCTTTCAAACGTCGATAAAATAAAAATAAACAAAGAAGGATGTGCTCAATATGCTTGCCAAGCCAACTTGCTAATGAAATGATTTACCGAGACTACAACTAATGCCTTCATGTTTGTCTGAAGCTATCAGGTATACGGGGAAGAAACATACATGAGATCGGCTCAAGACATAGCATTTCATGTTGCTTTATTCATTGCAAAAACAGGAAGTTATGTAAACTATTACATGGTAAGATAATTACAGCCTAGACTAAACCAAAACAGTATAGTGTCTCCCTTTTTTTTATTCATGATTCAATGTTTTGAAATCTATAGATGGTAGCCCAGAATACTACCCCGCATACAAACTTTTTATTTGATTTAATGTGATCAACAACAAATATTGTCCAGACCTATTAACTTCTTCCCCAACACGCTTACAGTATCATGGAGGAACCAATTTTGGAAGAACAGCCTCTGCATTTACAATAACAAGTTACTATGACCAAGCCCCTCTTGACGAGTATGGTAAGTCTTGTAGATTTTTCCATGACATTAATTAGTATTTTTTAAATTACAATCTGATCTGTTTTAATGATGGGTGCAGGTTTAATTAGGCAGCCAAAATGGGGTCACCTGAAGGAATTACATGCTGCAATAAAGTCATGTTCAAAGCTGCTGCTTCATGGAGAACATAAAACTTTTTCTTTGGGGCCACTACAACAAGTAAGAAAGCTAAGAACATTTTCTTTCCTGGAGTTTGGTAACTTGTGTTTGATTTCTTTCGAGAAACATTTGAGTAAATTATTTCTTGATCACTCAACCCTGAAAATTCAGGCGTATGTCTTCCAAGGAAATTCAGGACAATGTGCTGCCTTTCTAGTGAACAATGACGGCAAACAAGAAGTAGAAGTCCTCTTTCAAAGCAATTCATATAAGTTGCCTCAAAAGTCTATTAGCATTCTACCAGACTGCAAGACCATGACCTTTAATACGGCAAACGTATGGCACCTGTACACTCAACTCAATTTTTCATAACATCAGGGCATAATATTTTATCCCCGTGTTCTGATTGTTATAAAGGTTTTCATATTACAGCATTTTCATCTAATTGACTTAACCCCATTCAGATCACAAACAAAGGTATAAGAAAAATACATCATAGAAATGCATTATGCGTGCAATGACTACAGAATTAAGCATCTAAAAATGTGATTCTATTTCTTTTAAACTTTTTCATGGACAGGTAAATGCACAATATACTACAAGATCAATGAAACCAAACCAAAAGTTCAACTCGGTTGGGAAATGGGAAGAGTATAATGAACCTATCCCAGAATTTGACAAAACATCTTTGAGAGCAAACAGGTTGTTAGAGCACATGAGTACAACAAAAGATACATCTGACTACCTGTGGTACACTTTCAGGTAAAGCACACTGAAAAGATTTAATATTAACAAGGTTGTAGTTCGATGAAAATGAAAAAACCATATGACCTGAGACACTTAACATATGCTACGAAAAGTGCAGGTTTCAACAAAATCTTCCCAATGCACAGTCTGTATTTAATGCCCAATCACGTGGACACGTTTTGCATGCATATGTAAATGGAGTACATGCTGGTATGCTTCTAGATCTCTTAATCCTTTTTAGTATGGTAAAAAATAGCCCATAAATACAATTCAGTGATTTTTGTTTTCCATAAATTAAGTTTACAAGTCTCACATATTTTCTAAGACTAGTTAGACACATATATGAGAGGATGCACAGCTGGTCTACTTTGTTTAAAGATGATGGAAGAAATGACCAATTGCTGAGCAAGTTTATAAAAAAAGTTGTTAACTTTTATAGCTACACATATTAGTTCCTTCTTTAACATCTATGGCACTATTACAAGAATCCATCTTATTCCATGTTGTCAAGAAGCGTTTTTTTTTTCAAATTAAAGGTTACAGGGACAATTTAAAACAACTACAAATGAAATGCCTCTCTAGGCAGACCTTTCGTTTCTACATGCACGCTTTTATTTACTTTTCTTGGCTATCCATGATCCACTGTACACACGATAATAGGTAGACTAAAGAGCCAGAAACAGTTCGTGTAGTGGATAACCAACATGAAAGAGTGACCCAATAAAACACAAGCATCTATCAACAGTTGACTAGTTGCTGGACAGTTCTTCTAACATGGCTTGCCTATGTATAAAAGTGATAAATGAATATACATGGTATCTAATAATGCAGGATTTTCAATATAAACCATGGCATCTGGAATTTCAAGATGGACAGACAATTTCAATGTCCGGTTTCTATAGCCTCCACCACAGCCTTGTGGTGTCTACTTTTAAAAGTTATCAGTTTTTAACATAATTAAGCTTTTTCCATGTAGGCTATGGTCATGGAAGTCATCAGAATACAAGTTTCAGTCTGCAGACAACAGTTCCTCTAAAAAATGGAACAAATAATGTTGCCTTACTTAGTGCAACAGTTGGATTACCGGTACTTATCAGTCTCAATGCTCTTCTTTTTCTATACAATGACTCAAGAATATGATGGCTACTTGATAGATATTTAAGGAAATACATGTGTGTTCATGTATGTATATAATTTGTTCGTTTCTTATCTCAGCAATGACACAGCAAGCAGAAAACTTTTGCTGGACCTTGATAAAAACAAATTCAACATTCATGAAGCAAATTTAGATTCACCTATAAAATGCTGATATTTAATTCAACCTTGATATGACATGGATAATACAGCTCAGCAGTCAAGCTGTATTCTTTTCAACTCTGTTTCCGCAAGTGGTTTTGACTTTTGAAATTATGCGACACAACCAGAAGCTACTTGATTTCAATATAACTTTAACAGGTCAGCTTATTTTGTAACACAGGATTCAGGAGCATATCTCGAGCGCAGGGTTGCTGGATTGCGTAGAGTAAGGATTCAAAACAAGGATTTCACAACTTACATGTGGGGATACCAGGTATGCCTTGAGTGAAGGTTCACAAATCCTATTTCCTCTGAATTTCAATGATAGACCTAGAAAATAATCAGATTATACTGATCTTATTAACATATTTGACAAAGGTTGGGCTGTTAGGAGAGAGGTTACAAATTTACACGGAGAATGGATCTAACAAGGTTAAGTGGAACAAGTTTGGAACCAATCGACCACTCATGTGGTACAAGGTATGGAAATTCATTAACTGACTCTAAGTTGAATTTCTGTGTTTAATTTTGATACAAGAAAGAAAATAAGGAAAGTACAGTGTAACTACATATTATATTAAAAACCATATCCTTCCTTTGAGAACAAGAGTATAATATGATGAATCATAAAAATTCTCTTTTGTTTCAGCACATTATGATCAACATAAACACACAACACTATCTAATTCTAACAGGAGTTCCTCATTATGTTTGCCAGTGCTACAGTATAATACTGACTTTTCTCTCATTTATTATTCGCAGACTCTCTTTGATGCACCAGCAGGAAATGATCCAGTGGCACTAAACCTTGGTTCAATGGGAAAGGGTGAGGCTTGGGTTAATGGCCAAAGCATTGGCCGATATTGGGTATCATTCCATACTTCCAAAGGAAGTCCTTCGCAAACATGGTAATATCATTTTTTATGACAAAGAAGAACGTACATAAACACCCTTTTTTTTTTCTGAAAAAGCCCTGATAATCCTTTTCAAAAGAGACATCAAATGACCATCACTTTATGATGTCTTAAGTTTTGACACTTTTTTTTAATTTGTAGAAAATTGATGTTTCATTTCAAGGCTTTTAAAACATACCTGTGCTTCGTCTTTCTAAAGAAGTTCTCTTAAAAGGATAATTCAACTTTGATCTATCTTTTCCTAATAGCTGAACTAATATGTCAGGTACAACATCCCTCGAGCTTTCCTCAAACCGACTGGCAACCTGTTAGTTCTGCTAGAAGAAGAAAAAGGATACCCTCCAGGGATTACAGTAGACACTGTTTCAGTTACAAAAGTATGTGGCTATGCATCCGAACCACACTTGTCTGCAGTTCAGCTTAGTTGTCCTCCAAAAAGAAACATTTCTAGTATCATTTTTGCAAGCTTTGGAACCCCGTCGGGTAATTGTGAAAGTTTCGCTATTGGAAACTGTCACTCATCTAGTTCTAAAGCCAATGTAGAAAAGGTAAGCTTTTGTGCAATTTAAATTTTCTAAAATTAAATTCCTACTGCTTCGCTTTGTCATGAAGTTAGTGAAAATCAGAAACAAATGGGAAAGTTAAGATATTTTGGCTTAATTTCTATACATGCAAAGCATTGCTGTTATAGGATTATAAGTTACATTTAATTCACTTTAATAATAACATGAAAATCCTTCTCTGATATTAAAATGGCAGACAACTTAAAGCAAGGTTTGAACCCTCAAAGTTTTTTTTTTTTTTTATTTCCATATTGTTGATGATAAGAGTCAGGATGAGTAAAGTGAAATGGGTGCTTTGCGCTGTATGGTACATGCCCTACTAGAATAACTACTTGAAGCTGCTCCAAATCTCCTCAGCCCCCCAACCTTCAACAATTTTTAAAGGTGGTGGCAATTAAGAGATATATCTAGCCATTGTAGTCCCTTGCTGAAACCCAGCTAACAGTGAACTATAATTATGCATATATATGACAGGAATAAGCCACACATCTTTTCTTGCAAATTGAGCTCTTATCTATTTTTCAGGCTTGTATAGGGAAGAGAAGCTGTTCCATCCCTCAATCAAATCATTTTTTTGGTGGCGACCCATGTCCAGGCATTCCCAAAGTTCTGCTGGTTGAAGCCAAATGCACATGATTTTAAGTTTCATAGCATATTGGGCAAAGAGGTACCATGAAAATTTAAATTGAACTTTTAAATGATGTATATCTAGGCCAAATGAGTCAACTCAAAGTGTCATCATCATTCCAGAACCCATATATCCTAGTCTAGGTCTAAAAACCTTTTGGTTTATTTTTTGTATTTTATGGAGGATAGAATGCACTGTGGCTGCGAGGGGCTACAAGTCTGGGAATTACAAGTCTAAAAGTTTAGATGATGGGATTATGGGAAGACTGATGTTGACTAATTCGCAATGTGGATACATGAAGAACATATAAATGTTCCTCTTGTTTTTCTCTATAAAAGTTCCCCTTCCCTTGGCTATACAGTAAATTCTTGATTATGTGGTTTTGTACATGTTAACTTGCAAACTTAGTGTCAGTCAACTTATATTTGATGATTTAATGTTCTCCAGATTGCATGTTTATTTCCAAATTTCCTTCTTTCATATCCAGAAAAAACAATGTCAAAATAAAGAAAATGAAAATCAATCAATCTACCAGAGCTTGAAAGAAGAATGGTACAATCTTGACAACTGTAAATTTACACCACAAATGCAGGTAATCAAGGGGATTTAAAGACGTAAAAGAACAAATTGAAGGAGCAGGCTTGAAAGCCAAACATATGAATAAAACATAAAGATTCTGCAAAAATTAAAATATCAGGGATGCTTAGGTAATAGCTTCAATTACCACGTTGTGCTTTGCTGCCTCTTTTCTTAGAGGATTTCTTTTCATTGACAGTCACTGATGGTAGAAAGGCCTTCTGCGAGGGCAATTCAGCAATGAAAAGTAATGTCTGAGCCCATCCAGCATATTTCCCATACTTAGTCACGAACGCATCTGCCACACGGCCGCAGAGCTTAGGTGTCAGGCTAGCACCAGCAAGCTCAGGTACAAGGTGTGTCGTAGCAATCTACTCGAATCAACCCCAAACAAGCATTCTCTTATCAAAACTATAGCGAATCAAAGCTACCAAATAAACTAAAACACAACAGAGCATTGTACCCGCCACACGTGCGTATCAACAGGGATGGCATGATGCTGATCGAGAGAAAACAGAGCAATACAGGATGCCACTTTTAAACCAATTCCAGGTAATGTACATAGTGAATCAATCACCATTTGGAGTTGTAATTTTCGAAGAGATTCAAGCCATTTCACACCTCCTTCCGGTTTCGATTGCAAAGCACTCACCGTTCCAGTAACGTATTTAGCTCTGCTAAGTAATTTACAGCATTAACAAAAAAAAATTAACAATAACACAGTATTTAACAAACATACCTACCAAAACCAACCCCCAGCCTCTCTCAGCTGCTGCTCCGTAACCAAAGCCAATCTCTCCAGGGAAGGAAACGCGTGGAACTCAAAACCCTCAACATTCCCCAAATAATCACCCAAGGACGATACGAAATCCACCATTTTAGTGATCCTCGAAATGTTATTATTCGAAGAGCATAAAAACTGAATCAAGCACTCAAGTGGATCCTGCCTCAAAACCCTAGCTCCCTTAAAATGCTGTGCCAATTCGGCGAACCGCGAATCAGCGGCTGCGAACCCGTGCCACATTTCGGTTAGTGAGATGTTGGTATTGAGGAAACTGAGGAGAGCTGATTTGGCAGCGGATTGGGAGGGGGAATGGTGGATTTGGTAATAAACGTCGCCGTTTTGATGGTGCTTAAGGGAGATTAAGTGACGACCGAGACTGCCTGTGTATTGGAGGGGACCGGTTTGTTTCCAACGGAAGGTCTGGCCGGTGGGGAATGTGAGTGGGAGTGAGAGTTCTGACTGGGTCAGGTTGACTGGGGCCCAGTTTGTTGGCTGGAAAATTATTTTCTGGTGTTTTTTGGAGGAGTGGCGGGGTTGTGGTGGTGTTGGTAGAGGTGGTATCGGTGATGATCTGCTGGTGGTGGGGGTGGCGGGTGGCGGCGTGGGTCTGGCTCGCTTCATTGTTGGCGTTGGGAAGGAACTCCCTTTCGGTGATGGGAATTTTGCGGCCAGCTATTCGTTCCCTCCCTGGGTGGAGCCTCGCGAGTGCTATCTCCTCTCATGACCGCATCATACTATCCTCAATTTGATTGTGGTGTAATTACTCTTCAGTCTTCTTCACCCGTGATACCGTAAAAATATTGATTTTAATAATATTTTGTTGAAAACAATTATTTACAACCATGCTTGTTTTTATACTAGTGTTCAAGCTCCTTTATGCTTGTTTAATAATCTTTTCCAGAGATGGGAGTAGTGGATTTTCTCAATCTTCATACATTGCTACCAATAATACATTTCACTATATCCATTTTCTTCAAACATTCATGCATGATTCTAGCGAGATCTCCACAGGGTTTGGTAGAAGCAACTCCATCGTTTAATCTTTGAGATTTTGAACCTCCATATTCGCTTCTCTCTTGCCCTTTTCAAATTGTTGTGTTGTTGTTTTAGTTTACATGGATTAGGACTCTTTCAATAATAAAAGGATATTCAAAGCATGGGTTTCTAGTTTTATAAAGGAGAAGGTGTTTACTTTGTGGAATAACGACTGTGTTTTGAAATGCGGTTATAATTATTCTTTTAAAGTATTTTTTATTTTATAATATATTAAAATAATATTTTTATTTTTAAAAAATTATTTTTAATATTATCACATTAAAATAATTTTAAAATATCAAAAAAATTAATTTTTTAAAATACTTTTTAAATATAATGTCAATCAGCTCTTGAAAGTTGATTTGATGAAATTATTTGATGTATTTGATTTATTTTAGGTGAATATATTTGAAGTATTTGTGGTGTTTGATAAAATGAATAAAAAATAATTTAAAAAAAAATATGTTTAAATGCAGATAATTTTCTCGTTTTAAAAAAATTATATATGACTGTAGTTCGATTTTTTTATTTAATTTGAAAAATTATATTAATATAGAATGCAAAGTATAACTTCCAAAACAAAAAAAAAAAGTAAGGTACAAGAAAAATCCGAGAAAACTATAAGATTTTTTTTGTAATTATCCATACAAAATCCGTACAGGATTTGCCTTAAACATTTTAAACTAGTAAATCTCTCGAGCATAAAAGATTCAATTAACTAAAAGGAATTTAATCACTCCAAAAGTTTTGTATAAAATATAGATTATACTAGCCGTGGGCTTGTGTTATATAATGGAGACAGTTTATTTTTTTAATAAAAAATGATGTTTAACTTATACAAATACGTTTTAAAAGGGAAAAAAATTTGCAACTTGAGGCATAATTTGATTTTATTTTAATTAGAGGATAAAAAAATTGACAAAGCATCAAATAAACCAAATAAAAAAGAATTGATCATAATAACTTGGGAAAAAAAAATTTTGAAAAGGAGAAAAAATAATGTAATTCAATTTTAACTAATTAAATATGAAATTTTAATGAAAAAGTATAAAAGATACTTAGTTTGAATCAACCCAAGTTAATATGATAAATATGTAACCTAATAATAAGGGTGACCCAACTCGGGTTAACCCGCCAAATTTACAGCTCAAGTTATGAGATCGGGAAGACCTGATAAAAAAACAACAACAAAGCCCTTTAAAAAAAATACAATGTTGAATGAGAAAATCAGAAAATAAAATAAATAAAGGAAAAAAAGGATAATGTCAATTTGCGTTAGCTTTTTAAACTTGTAACCTAGATCATTAGACTAAAAGCACCCTATTTGAAAAAATTATGAAATCAAATTCTCAATCAATCAAATGTTGAAAGATAAAATTAAAAAAAATTATATAAAAAAATCAAAAATAAAAAATAATAATTAAAATAATAAGAATCAAATAAATTAGAAAACAACTATAATTTTTTTATTGAATGGTGAAATTGAAAAGAAAAATCCATTTAACAAAAAAATATCAAAAAAATAAGAACCAAACTGTAAAAAAATAATGTATGATAAACTAGGATTGAAAGATAAAATAAAAAATAAAGTAGAATTTTATAAAAGGACTAGGAATAAAAATTAAAAGAATAAGAATCAAAATTGAAATATTAATAAATAAGAGAATAAATATAAAATTTTAAGTGATTAACACGAATTTCAAACAGATAGAAGTGAAAAAAAGAAAAAAGGATCACCAACAATAAACCATGAAGCTATCGCCGCCATGTGTCACTCCCTCAGAAAAAAGATGTTTGTAATGACTCTAATGACATTGTGTAAAGGAATTTTTTTTCCATCAAAAAACACCACACACGCTTTTAGAAGATTGTAGGCGACTCTCACACGTTGGTGTGTATGTCACACTTGCCAATAATTTTTTTCATTGAAGTAATATTTTATGTTTTATAAAGACCAAGTTGCCCTCACCCCAACATGGTAATATAAAAAAAACCAAGTGAAAAATGAAGAAAAAGCCCTTTAATGTTAGCTTTAAAGTTCTTTTATTTTAAAGGTAAATTAGTCATTTTATTATTTTTGGAAAAGTAAAAAGACCAAGCAACTTTTATATGTCAGTTTTAAAGATTGTGTTGTTAAGGATAATTTAGTTATTTTACTATGCTTGAAAAAAAAAGATACTTTTAGCCTTGTTCAATTTTATAATGACCGATTGACATCGGAAAAAGATTGAATTATCCTAAACACGAAAACCATTGATTCTATCAAATAGTGAAATGTGTGTAGATATTCAATGAAAATCCCTTTCGTCTTAGTTTTTTGTTTTTGTTATGTTTATATTATAACAAAAGCTAAATGGTATGGGAAAATCATTGTAAATCAAGATATATTTTACTATTGATTGTAATATTAGTTTTATTTTCAATTTCTCATCTTTTCACAAAACATTTCTTTGGCTTTCTTTTTTCTTTCACGACTAATGGATAGTGCCCGCGCCATTAAGGAGACATGTGTGATACTTTCCGGTGGTCAAATCTGGTTATTCATCATCTCACTAGATACACAACTATGCTTTCTTCCACATAATGTAACATGTGTAGACAAATAATGATTGGATTGTCATTGGTGATCAATTATTTGTGTTTTTTCTTTTCTTTTTTTTCTCTCTATTGACAACTAAAGTGCACAATTATCCTTTTTATTTATTATTTGTCAAATCACGCGTGTTTGTCATACTCAACTACCTTGGACGCTAGGTTAGGCAACCATGTCAAACTCAAGGTACTGGATCAAAAAATTTAAATTTTTTCTAAAGCATAATTAAACTGCAAAAATAAACATTGACTCATTCAAATAGGAGTTTCCATTCATATGTAGTAGAACTTTACTGCAAACTCTTTTTTGTTTATATAATGTTTTTTATAAATTTGTTATATTTGAAGAGAAAAGAATGGAAAAAAAAA